CAAGAAAATAGTATACGTGAACAATTTCCACAACACTTGATAGGAAGAACGAGCGCTATTTGGCTAGGCTAGGTGTCGTCATTAATGAGAATCCGTCTTCAATCGCTTGAAAAAAAATTCCCTTTAAAAGGACGGATTCAATTAGGATGACACTTATTTAGTATAGGATGACCTACACATCTCCTCTTGTGTTTACGATTTGGACGTAATGGATCCAATATTGGTTAATTGGATCCAATGGAGGCCTCACGAATGAATTTCTAGAATGTACATGACGTGTGAGTCGTTTGAAGTTCAAATCTAAATGATCAAAATAATAGTAAGGAAGTTAAAGAACAAGAAAACGGCCAACCCGTTGTGGCCTTAGTATAACAAGTGGGAATAAACTTATGATAGATTGGCTACAAATTACAAGTGGATAGCCATGCGGCCACAACTTTTATTGTCTTTATTAAAAAACAATTACAAGCATTTTCGTTTTTATTTGGACAATAATTACAATTATCAAATTTTTTGACAGAGTCACAGGGACCCGTTACAAGGTGTTATTAGAGGGATGAAGGAAAAAGAAAATGAGAGTCAGTTCTTGGAATTCGAATTTGGAGTTTCGATTGAAAACCAGCGATATAATTATCAATTTGACCCTGATCTATTTTAATTACCAAGTGGGATGGCGTGGGAACATTTTTCAAATAATTAACGAGGTCATGTTAAATATAAACATAATTTTGAATTGAATCCGCTAAATGATTGATTAGGTAGGTAGAAAGTCAAATATTGAGGCTGAAACTATATGCATGCCATGGGGTACTTAGAAATTAGAATCATGCTTACCACAAAGACAGAACTAAGAGAATATTTTAACTGTTAATCAAATGATTGCTAGAGAAACCAAAACACGTAAACTAGGTTTACGAAGACAGCATTGAAGCTTTTGCCGTTCTTTCTTTAGGATTTGTTTTCAAGTGATATTAATTAGAGAACATTACTGTCATATCATAAAAATTTGCTCTCTTTCTTTGGGAATCAGCATATAACATGCTGAGCCGATCTTTTTTATTTTTTACACCTTGTAAACAACAAATATTTGATGAGAGACTCGATCTGTGTAGCTTAAAGTTGTCCATCCAATGTTCAAGACATACGTGGTAAATTGGAAGATAAGATAGAATATAGTATGGGTGTGTGAATTACCATGCATATTTAAAGGAGATCAAGGATTAATTTGGGAGTTTTATAGGTGGAGAGGTGTGCTCCGATGGCTAAAAATAGTTGGCCTCGAGCACTTATGATCCTTCAAAACTCATTAGCTGCCTCCATGAATCTTAGTTTCATTTAAATGCAATAATCAACCAAACTTTTTGGCTACTTAGATGTAGGCATCACAGAAAATGATGGTGTCATCCGTATAAAAAAGTGCGTCACCTTGCCTCAAGAGGATCTTTAGAAACCAGAAACAATGTCAGCTTCTCTTAATCTTACCAACATCATAGATGGAACATCTATGAACAAACTAAAATGGAGTGGAGACATAGGATCTCCCTACATCAAACACTTTCAATCTTGAGGAATCTCGCAGCCTCACCATTAACAAGGACGAACAAGAAATGGATGAAACAAGTCCACATATCTAATGTTGCATTTTCAAAGAGTCCAAACTCTCCAGGATTTTAAACAAGCATCCCAGTTTACATTATCAAATGTCTTTTCCATATCTGTTGAATGATAATTAATACACTTGTAATTAGGCTTCTTAGTCGAGCTTCCTTCTCCTTACAGGTCTCGGCTAGGGCTAAGTTATGTATATAGGGATCTCCTATAGTAACTTGGGTATAATTTCAAGTTAGGTAACTTGTATAGATCTAAACCGTTAAAATTGACCAAATTTATTTTGAACCATTGATTAAATAAAAAATAACTAAAAAAAAAATAAATGGCAACATGGGTTGCCGGTCACCACATTCCAAGTTACCTTTTTCTATTTTTTTCTTTCCTTTTTCACATTTAGTTGTCTTTCCATATTTTAACATTTCATTTTTTAATTCTTATTGAATTAGAAGCGTTACGTAAGCCTTCCGTAATAACTTAGCTCTTTACGTAACACGACATTAATACTCATTACGTGAAGAGATCTTCTATTACGTAAGGCTTCCGTAATGATATTTTACAAATGTTACCTAAAATACATATTCACTACGTAAAGGTTACGGAATTATAGTTATTTCTTTCGTAACAGTTAAATCGGAAGCGTTACGTAAGGCTTCCGTAATGACTTAGCACTTTACGTAACGCAAGGTTAATACTCATTACGTAAAAAGACCTTCCATTACGTAAAGGTTACGGAACGACAATTATTTCTTACGTAACAGTTAAATCAGTAGCGTTACGTAAGGCTTTTGTAATGACTTAGCATTTTACGTAACGTGAGGTTAATGATCATTACGTAAACACACATTCTATTACGTAAGGCTTCCGTAATGATCTTTTACAACTGTTACGTAAGATTATCATATGTTACGTAACCATTATGTAATGCCTATTGTATTTTACGTAATACGACCTGTGAAATCTGCTATAGCAGGTAAAAAAAATTCAAGTTACCTTACTTCAAGTTACCGTAGGAAATATATAAGCAAAAATTCATTAGCTTATTGTTCATAATATCATAAGCAAAAATTGATACCATTTTGACATGAATCGCATGCTCAGAATGATGATTATGAGGCGGGTGCGCTGAGTGTACCCAAAAAAGTGGTAAAAACTATGAAGGACAAAGAGACAGTGGCGGATCCATGAGGAGGCCAATTTGGATCACGGTCCAGTCTTTGTCTGAGTTCAGACTTAATATAGTACTTCCAAATTTTTTGATTTTAGATATTTGATTCTGTGTTTGTTGAGTTACTATGTCCTATATCCGCCGCGGCAAAGAGAGGGGATGGTGGGAAAAGGGAAAAGGAAATGTAAGAAATAGACAAAAGGTTAAGTAAGTAATTCACATGGAGGTGGAAATGGTGGTGGTGGGCATGTGACGTGAATGTACACTTACATCTTCTTGTCTACCATGTGCCCCGTGGATTCGACCTCCAGGTTTAGCAAAGCATCCCTTCCCTTCCTTCTTCTTCCCCATTTTTCTCTTCTTCACTGGCACCAGCCAAGCAAAGCATCCCACCAACTGGAGAGTGGAGACGACGACGATTCTTTCCCTCCTTCCACTTTTCAATAATTAATAAAAAAAGAAGAATGTCCCTTCATCCTTTATATACCCTTTGCTCCTTGACACATATTTACTGAACAAAAGGAAAAGCATCAATAATATATATAATCTTATGAAAGGAAAGAAAGGAAGCTAAGGAAAGGAAATGTTACATTACAATGAATGTTCAAGGGGGTTGTATATACATCACACATTTCTCGAATGAGCACAAACACACACAACAAAGAGAATTTAAAGCTTTCATCAACTTTTCTATTTCTCTCTTTTAACCCTTCCCCTTTTCCATAGGCAATCACTTGAATGTGACCCATCCACAAAGTGGTGTTCGTCCCATCTACAATACCAAAACCCCATGGAAGGAGAGCAAATTAAGGTGAACCCACTCTGGATACTCATAATCTCAAGATATCCTATCTAGGGTTGTAAACGAGTCAAGTCGAGTTTTTTTTTTTTTTTTGTTTAGTTTGAGTCGTTCACTAACGAATCAGCTCACAAGTCGACTTGTTAAATAACAAACCGAGTATAGAACGAATTTTTACAATTTGAACGCCGAATTGCTCGCTAGCGGGTTGGCTCATTTGCATACCTAGCTAACCTGTAATTCCGTGAAGTCATTAATTATCACTAATTAGTTAAAAACTCGAAAAGTATCTAAAGTCATTTTCAGCACCAAATTATGATTTCCCCTTTAATTTTCTTGCTTTTGTAAGTTTTATATTTGGGTTCACTTTTACGCCAATCATGTAGACATTTGGTTGAAGAGAAGAAGAATGCGCCACTTACAATTAAGGGTGAATTAAATATCAAAAGTCATTACAATCATCACATTCATTCATGATGATTATGGTCTTCGAATAGGGTTAAATAATGGAAGGCCCCTTACCTATAATTAAATTATGTATACTTCCTTTCTTGTAGTAAGCTCTTTTTCTCTATCCATAACCAAGGGCGAACTCACATCCACGATGTCTTTCAACCTAAGCGAAGACGTCAGGCAAGACGAGTTATGTGGCGGTTCTATTTACCGTCGCCGGAGGAGGCCGATACGGTAACACAGGAGGAGCAGATCCAGACTTACCCTCTACAGGGGCAGATAGCTCTGGCACAAACCCGGGTTTCAGGTTCTGCTACGCCCAACTGTGAGCTTAGATCCCGAAATGGGGCGAGCTCCGAATTCAGATCCCGCAATGGGACGAATTCAATCCAAATTGATACTAAGGCATTGATTAAGAATATCCGCCGAAGACCGTCGCCGGAGCTGTGTGCTTCAACATTCCTCCGACCGGATTTCTCCCCGAAACGTGCGCGAGTAGGAATGGTGGCTGGCTCGCGTCGGATTAGCGGAATTGCGCTATTCTCGGAAACGTTTAACTGCCACGGGGATTTTCTGTTCCGCCGTATATTTACGGGATTTGGAACTCCAACTAAACGGTTATCTAAGCTGGATTGTCAAAGTTCCCCTCTCCCACTTGAACTCTCATACCAGGAGAAGTTCCAGACGTACCTTGCTTATATAAAGCAGCCACCCAGCCTCATGTCTCTCCACCAAAAATACAGAGACGAGTGGGTGCCTAGTAGCTGCGGATACAATAACAAGCAAGAGGAATACTCTGGTAAGTGGGAACTTTGTAATTCGGCAATCTTTTTATGTGTTTGGGTAGGGGATTTTCCTACCAGAACATTTTCTTTCAATCTCTCGAGCTACCCTTGGGTGCCAGTTAGCGAAGCTTCGGCCATTGTTACGTCCTGTGAGCTGAAACTATCTTCTTTGCTGCAGTCGGCTACCATGGCTCGCATTGCCAGTGACCAGGTCGTAGAATTTTCACTAACGGAGGTACAGTCCGACCGGGTTCGTCAATCGAGGATGCTGCTGGGCCGCCTCTTCACTGAGGATAGGCTGACTCCAATTGCACTACGTGCAGCGATTAATAACCCATGGCAAGGCCAGGGAAGAATCAAAGTTAGGGAGGCGGCGCAGGGACTGTACGAGTTCGTCCTCCCTACTGAAGCGGCGAAAAACTGGGTGCTCCAGCGCACGCCATGGGTCATCAATGACAAAATTCTTCACCTGAGGGCCTGGACGCCGAACATCACTACTCGAACGTTTGATGAGATGGCAATTGCACCATTCAGAGTCCAAATGTGGGATGTGCGGGAAGAATGCTGTACTCAGCAATTTGGACGAAAGGTAGCGAGTTCCACCCTTGGCCGGGTGCTCGAAGCAGGAATTTTCTCCTGCACGGATACTACTAATACTTTCATCAAAGTCAAGACCCTCATAGACTTTTCCAAACCGTTACGATCTCAGATTTGGGCAACCAATGAAGAAACGGGATCTTTTTGGATTCGATTCAAGTATGAGCACCTACCCAGTTTTTGCTATAACTGCGGGCGTGTGGGACACTTTCGACAAAACTGTATGTTTGATCCGCCAGCACGAAAAGAGCGGTTTGGTCCTCACATGACGACCAAAAAAATGGGAAGGAAAATCTTCGAGGAAGACGACCAAATGCCGCGGCTTTCTGGTCACCCAAACTCAGTCTGGATCAATTCTAATGTCCGTCAAAAGACTGGTCAGGATGATCGTGAGATACGGCGCACTATGCCGAGGCAAGACCCTATTCCCAGGAAACCTCGTGCGGTAGATGACAGTCCATTGTGGATGGGATCATCTGATTCTCCGTTCATCACCACTGAGGAGGCCGAACAACGAGCCAAAATGGGGAGAAGCCCCCTCAAATTCCCAATTCCGAAGGCAGCCCCCAAAGTCAACCTGGGAAGGCAGGTCCGCCGTGGTAAAGGGAAGGTGACAGCAGGTGGCAGCCCGATGGAGGTTGATGAAAATCGAGACCTGAACCCGGTGCCGCGCCGACGGGGAAGGAATGGTCGGTCGACAAGAAATGACCAAGGGACGGCTCCCACTGCTGCTTTGGAGCGCAAAGTGAAAAGCACGACTCGTCGTACGCTCCCGCCCGACGCTGATGGACCACCCCTGTAGGAAACCGATGACGTTTCCCGTCGCCGCCGCCTCATTCTCGAAAACGAGTCAGAGGAGGAGTTCGTGGTCCGTCCCGTCTCGTCTACCAGGCCGGAAGATGATCGGCCACCGATACGGCAACCAGTTCCGTGTGGGTTCCCGGCGCCGCAGCTTTCCCAATCCCAGACTGTTCCTCCATCCAAAGCGACGGGAAAGAAGAAGGGCGAGCGTGTTCGGCCGGGCCCCATTAAAACTAATGGGCCGGCCCAAGACTTGCAGCGGCCCTCAGCCTGTCTAACGGACCCAAAGGCCAGAGGGAAAATGGGGAAATCAATTGGGGGGCTGACCGGGTCCAGAAAGCCCAAGAAATTAACCCTGGCGGAGCCCGATGAGTATACACAGGCCTGTGAAACTGGGCAGGCGGATGGAGCTGCTTTGGAGTCGCCACCGTCGCCCAAGTCCTCTCCCTACTCGTCCACTCACAAGGAGGGTATCGTGGAGTCGGAGGACACTCTTTCGGAGGACGAGGCCAAAGTCTATGAGCTTCGACGCCGAGTTCCTTCGACGTCAGGGGTGCTAAAACGGCTGGTTAAGACGGCCCGGGTGAGTCAAGTGGTGAAAGCATTTGAACTTGGGCTGGCAATGACGGAGAATGACGAGGATGGCAATACGAAGCAACCCCAATCTCAGGCCTGTAGGGACATGCTGGACACAGGTGTCGCCTTAGCTGCTAATACCCCCCTGGATGAGTATGGTAGTAATTTTTCGGAGATAGGGGCTGGTGTGAAGAAACGTCATTTTGACGAGATAGATGGGGAGATGACGGATATCCCGACCCCCAAAAAACAGTTTGTTGAAGAAAAAGATGAAGCAAAGGTGGAGGAAGCCAGCCTCGAATGGCCCCAACCGAATAAATGAGGCTTCTGGCCTGGAATGTGAGAGGAATTGGGCCATCCCTCACATTCCAAACTGCTGTAGGGTTAGTGCATTCTAATAAACCGGATCTCGTGTTCTTCTCGGAAACACGATCGAGCCGGCGAGTAGTTACCCGGCGATTGCGGGGGTTAGGTTTCCTTCAGTCTCATTGTTTCTTTGTTGATGTTGTTGATGCATCTGGCGGGTTGGTAGTTGCTTGGGCCCCTGGGGTTGATGCCTCAGTGTTCTTTTATTCAAGTTTTTGTATTTGCACGAAGATTAATGAAAGTGATCGTTCTTATGTTGTTGTCTCTGTTTACATTAGCTGTGAGATTGTCACTCGGAATGCGCAACTGACCCAATTACAAGAAATCTGTAATAGTTTCCAGCTCCCCTATGTTGTGATTGGTGATTTTAATACTACTCTCCATGAGAGTGAGAAAGATGGTGGGAATGCTTGGAATGCTGCTCATGCCCTTGGTCTGCGGAATTTTATCCTTGATCTTGGCCTACTTGATCCTGGTTTCCAGGGAGACCAATTTACCTGGACTAATAGACGCATGGGAACTGCCTGTATCCGTGAACGATTGGATCGAGCCCTCTGCTCCCAGTCATGGATTACTCAGTTTCCAGAAACAATGGTAAAGCACTTCACTGACCAGGGGTCGGACCATCGCGCCCTCCTTCTCTCTGACCAACCGTACAGGCGCCATAGTCGCCCGCTGTTTCGATTCGATGCTCGATGGGCTGATAATCCCGAAGTCCGAGCTATGGTGGTTTATGTCTGGAAGGAGGAGGTCCAGGGCACACCTATGTTCCAGCTTTGGGAGCGGCTGAAGAAGCTTCGTCACTTGCTATATGACTGGAGCAGGGCGGGTACCACTAATTCCCTGCGAAATATTCGAACCCTTCAGGCGGAAATCGACCGGGTTAAACTTATCCATCCAATTGATTGGGATGCGGTACGCCCCTTGGAGATAGAACTATCCAGGCAATGGGAGGCGGAAAAAGTATACTGGCAACAGAAATCTCGAGTCAGGTGGCTGAAAAAGGGAGATCAGAATACTTCTTACTTCCATACGGTCACGAGGACTAGGAGAAAAAAGAATTTTGTTGCTGGGCTTCGTAGTGACTCTGGGGAATGGATCACTGATGAGGCTGGGAAGGCAGATTTGGCGAATTCCTTTTACCAGCATTTATTCACTTCGGAGAATCAAGTGGGGAATATGCCTGACAGGGTGGCAACACTCCCGATAGCTCGCAGTGTCTCGGATGCGATGAATGCTGAGCTTACGGCCCCGGTCCAGCCTATTGATGTTCGTCGAACTGTGTTTGCTATAGGGTCGAAAAAGGCCCCAGGATCGGATGGTTTCACTGGAAAATTCTTTAAAGCCTTCTGGGACATCGTGGGGGACTCAGTGACTGATGCAGTACGTTCCTTCTTCTCGACGAGTAAGCTGTTGCGAAGCTTTAACCACACATGGCTGACGTTGATTCCCAAGGTGGATGCGGTAGAGAATTTACGCCAACTTCGCCCGATCAGTCTGTGCCAATTCATTTATAAAGTTATTACCAAAATTATGGCAGATCGTCTGGCCTGTCTCTTACCGAACATAATCTCGGAGGGACAAAATGCCTTCATTAAAGAGCGTCAGATAGTGGATAACATCCTCCTTGGGCATGAATTGATGCATTATCTCAAGATTAAAAAGCAAGGTAAGAAAGGATACATGGCTCTAAAGGTTGATATGGAAAAGGCCTATGATAGAGTCGAATGGCCCTTTCTTCTTGCGGTTCTGGAGAAAATGGGTTTCAGTTCTACCTGGAGGGGTTGGATTAGAGAATGCCTCACAACCACCTCGTTTTCGGTTTTAATGAATGGCACCCCCGCGGGGTATTTCTCTCCCTCGAGGGGTCTTAGGCAAGGGGACCCGCTTTCCCCTTTATTATTTGTGCTCTGTACTGAGGGATTTTCCGCTCTGCTGCGGAAGGCTATTGCTGAACACAAATTGGAAGGTGTGAAGGTGGCTCCTCGTGCCCCGAGAATTTCCCACCTGTTCTTCGCGGATGACTCATATCTGTTTCTGCGAGGCTCTCTCCAGGAATGTGAAAACCTGATTGAAGTTTTGAATGAATATGAGGAACTCAGTGGGCAGAGGATTAACCTGGGCAAATCGGCAGTGTGCTTTAGCAAGAATATAGCCATACCAGACCAAGAGTTCTTGGCCCAGATTCTGGGGGTAGGTGCTGTCGGCGTCCATGACAAATACCTTGGGCTGCCAACGCTGATAGCCCGTTCAAAAATGGCTACCTTCCGTTACCTGGAGGAGAAATTATTGGAAAGATTGCAGGGTTGGAAACAACGGTCTCTTTCTTGGGCAACGAAGGAAACCTTGCTCAAGTCAGTAGCCTTAGCTTTACCCCTGCATGTTATGTCATGCTTTAAACTCCCCCTGTCTCTCTGTCGCCTCCTTGATAAACACCTTGCTCGATTTTGGTGGGGCGTTGAGGGTGAACATTCTAAAATTCGTTGGATGTCATGGCGGAATATGTGTCGTAGTAAGCATGACGGTGGTATGGGATTCCGTCGGTTCGAGCATTTTAATCAAGCTCTCTTGGCTAAGATTGGGTGGCGTATCCTGAGTGAACCACAGTCCCTGTTGGCACAGGTCTACAAAGGGAAATACTTTCCGCAGGGTACGTTCCTCTCGGCCACGGCTCGGTCACGGCCTTCCTGGGGCTGGCAGAGTATCCTGTTTGGAAGAAGTTTGCTGGTGAAGGGTCTCCGTTGGCAGATTGGGGATGGTCAGACCGCGCCTCTCTTGCAGTCTAGATGGATTCCTAACCTCCATCCTGCTGAACCGGTTTATAATCCTCAAATTCTCCCAGAGGACAGGGAACTATGTGTATCTGAGGTGATATGCCCGGGTGAGGGACGTTGGTGTGAGTCCAAGTTGGAGCGCTGGTTTGATCCCCCGACTTGTCAGGCGATCAAGGCAATCCCTTTACCGAGGCATCCTGTTCCGGACCGGCTTATCTGGCATGACACGGCAGATGGTCAATTCTCTGTTAAGACAGCGTACCACCTAGCTGTCCTATTGGATAAGCAGAAGGGAGGGTGGCGCTCGCTGGCAAGTTGGATGGACAAGCCTAGTTGGATCCGTATTTGGGAGGCTCCTATACCACCAAAGCTGAAGGTGTTCCTCTGGCAGCTTGTAAATCGAATCCTGCCCACTACAGAGGCCCTAATTGAGAGGGAGGTCCAAGTTCATCCCAGATGCCCGGTATGTTGGGCGGAAAAGGAGACTTTGGAGCATCTTTTTCTCTTTTGCCCGGTGGCACGAGCTCTGTGGGACCTTTCGGGTTTGGAATTTTTGGGACAAGGATTACCTTGCCATACGTTTCCCCTGTTATTAAGAAGGATGTTGAATCTCATTCATCAGCCGGATCTATTTATGGCGCTGGTGGCGGTCCTCTGGCGAATTTGGCGATCTCGGAATTGGGTGGTCTTTGAAGGCAAGCAGTTTGGGATCCCAGCTTTAATGCGGCAATTTCACCAGCAATGCGAGGAATGGTTGAGCCTTCCAAGGGAGCATATATCCCCTTTGCATAACCCTCCTAGTATTCCGGCTAACCCGCCTGGCGATTCCAGGCTCATATGCCGTTGGGATGGAGCTACCAGGCAGGGGGCCCCCTCGGCTGGGGGTATGGTGCTTATGACCTCAGCCCAGGAGGTCATTCTGGCTAGGGGAATTCAATTTCCTGATCAGGTTGATCCTATGGTGATTGAATTGCTAACCCTTCGGGAGGCGGTTGGCTGGTGCCTAGGGCTGGGGTTTGCTGAAGTGAGGTTTGAAGGAGATGCCAAAGTGATTATTGACAAGATTGTTTCGCGACAGGCTGGAGATAACCGGGTGGGAGCGATTCTAGAAGAAGTTCTGAATTATTTTCTCTCGAATCCGGGATTAGCGGTGCGGTTTATAGGTCGGACTAACAATAGGGTAGCCCATAGGGTGGCTAGGAAGGCCCTTTCTTTGTCTCCGGCTATGAACTGTGTGTTTGATTTTCGGGCCTGGCTAGGTTCCAGGATGTAATTATCTCTCTTTAATTCAATATATGAATACCTTTTGTAAAAAAAAAAAAAAAAAAAAGTAAGCTCTTTTCTCTACATGGCGATGATCAATAATAATGAGACCAAAAAATTCCGGCCCTCAATTAACACCCACACTTCACTTATCACCTCTTCTCCAATAATTCCCTTTCTTTCTCTTTTGTATCTCGCGCACCGGCCAATAGCCTCCACGAAATTAAGAGTAAATCTCATTTAAATCTCGAAGAGAATTTTGCGTCTGAAAAAATTTGTGTATCGAGAAGCCCATCGATACAAGGTGTATGGCGGATCAAGATAATAGTTGAGGTGAGGACACGAAGTTCGTGGTTCTTGGCTTTAGGGGAGTATTGTTATGAGGACAATCCAAGTATCACATCGGTAATACAAGGGAAGGAACCCTTATATTAGTGTCCACCAAACTTATTAGTACAAGGTCTTTTTGGGAGGACACCCATGAGTAAAACCGTAACGGCAAGTAAAAAAGAGTGATTAACAAGCAAATATATAATGACCGCATGTGCTTAAGATCTCAAAAAACATGCATTAATTAACGATTAGTTATCTATCTACATTTTTACACTTTGTTGTGATGTACTTTCACAATGTTGAATCATTAGAACATGAGAGCATGTGTATGTGTATGTGTAGGGTAAACAATAAAAACTCAGAGAAAGCGATCCCGAGGAGATGAGGCATCTAGCTGCTGTGCATTAATTACGATGCCTAGCTAGCTAGCTAGCTACTTGATCATGGTAAGCGCCGGGGATTAATTAACAAATAACCACTTAAAAAAGAGATAATAATTACCAATTCCCAACTATGTGGCAACTAAAGTATCCATTAAGATTATAAAAAAAGTATCCATTAATGATAAAAGAGTAATACTACAGCT